GTTTCCATTCAAGACATTTGTGCAGCAGCGAGCTGGTCCTCGCCGCTCACTTTTGTCCGCTTTTACAGGCTAGATGTTTCTGCTCCAAGTGTGGCCTGCGCAGTGCTGGGCCCCGTATTGGGACAGGGTTCTACCTGTTAAGTTCTGGTTTTGTGTTGGTGATTTTCGAGATAAGCATGTCTGGCAATGCGGGAGTCTCAATATCCCATAGTGAGACATCGAACGGAGTGTTATGAATGAGAACTATAGGTTACTTACGTAACCCCAGTTCTCAGAGTAACATGAAGTGAGATGTCTCACCTGACGGCCCTTCTTGCTGAGGCGAAGCGAGAAGAGGTGCTTATTTTGAATGACGCCTGCGTCGTGGTGCAAGCTACTTATAGGGTTGGTGGATTCCCTGACGTTGGCGTCAAGATCACCAGCCAATCAGGATTGGCGTAATGAGATTGATGCTTCTGGTGCATACGCGTTGAGGCGCATCCCATAGTGAGACATCTCACTTCATGTTACTCTGAGAACTGGGGTTACGTAAGTAACCTATAGTTTTACAATAACCTTTTAAATGTTACAATCATAGTACATTTCTTGCACAATTAAAGTAGATATAATATCCCCCTTTATATTTTGTAACTGTACATTTTTATTTCCACATGTATATTTTCCACATGTTTATTTTTTTACTTTTTAATGCTATTTTATTTATATTTCAGAAATATTTGGGATTGTTCATTTCTAGTGTTTTAATTTCTCTTATGTACATTGCCTAATCTTTTTATGCTGCTGCAACGCAAACATTTCCCAATTTTGGATCAATAAAGTACTAATCTATCTAATCTATCTATCTAAATGAAATATCACACAAGGAATTCCACTGAACCCGTTTACCGTAATATAATACTTGACTTGTTTCGCCTCCACCTCCTGTTCCTCCCCACAGAGCCATTGAGAAGTTAACAGGGCACCAGTTCGAAGACTACTCCTTCAAAGTGTCATATATCGTGGACATGGATGCTGCTCCGCCCGACCAGGCTCCCCGCACGCGGCGCGGGGGGCGGTCCTCCCGGGAGGGGGGCTCTCAGCCCGGGCCCTCAGGAGACTATGGCTCTCCCCGCACCAGACAACACGACTTCCCCCTGCGCATGCTCGCGCCTTCTCAGTTTGTCGGAGCCATCATCGGCAAGGAGGGCTTCACCATCAAGAAGATCACCAAAAATACCCAGTCTAAGTGAGCAGACTCTGGTCGTCCTCTCTTGTTCCTGCTGTGTTTGTCTTTCCTGTTTTCTTGGCTACACTCTAATTTTGTTATGTAGACATGACATAATAATGTAGACAATGTGGCACTGTGCCTAGGCTTGCATTGTTAAGACCAGTTGTCGGCGATATAATGCAAGATAGCACACAGTAAATGCTTTAAGTTGTACAATTTTGAAAAGGAGAAGCTCAGGTTTTTCATGGAGGGTTTACTCTGAGATATAAATATTGTTATATACACAACATCCCATTGTAACATTTACTTCTCAACATCTTGAAAGGCTTGTGTGCTTTCAGTCCGTAATGCACAACAAGACAAATGTTATTATGACTTTATACTCTATCCTCCTTCTTTGTCCTTCTCAACTTTGTGTTTATCTCTCTGTCCATCTCTCCCTCTCTCAGGGTGGACATTCATCGGAAGGAAAATGCAGGGGCAGCAGAAAAGCCCATTACCATCCACTCAACTCCCGAAGGCTGCTCCGCCGCCTGTCGCATGATCCTGGACATCATGCAGAAGGAGGCCAACGAGACCAAGACGTGAGTCTGCACCTTGACATGCACAAACATGCATACACACACTTGGATGTTGTTTACGCAGGTCAGGTATACACTCCAACAGGGAGATAAGCCATAATATTTGCGGGGCTGTAATCTTATCCTTTAACCTGCCTGCACACCTTTTAATCTCACTGTGCATTCTCTCGCTTGGACCACTAACACAGTGCACACGACACACTCGCATAGGAAAACACGTGACCCCAGCTTAGCATTTAAGAAACAAGGCCAACTTGTCTAATTGAGCTTGACACTTTTAACAAGACACTGCACCTTTAAACTCTTTGAGCTCTGCTGGATCTGAGTGTCAATGCCCAGCTTGTATTTGTATTTATTTGTCAAGTGTGTTGTTTGTCGATGGGGTGCGTCCACTCACTAAGCGTTGCTTGAATTATAAGGGCTAGATTCTTCATTACTGGATACAGAAAAATTATTTTGCTTCATTTAAATATAAAAATGTTCCCACAGACTTGCAAGATACGTCCTAGATGACATGACACTTAAATTGGTTTTGTCAAAGACTGTTTATTTTGTTGTTTTGTTCTTGTCCCAAGTGTTTTCAGTCAGTGTGGTTTCCCATAGAGCCGGAGAATGGTTCAGGCTGTCGAGAGGGATGATTATGGCTCTTGAGCATAAATAGATTTTTTCTAGCTGTTGCCTCATAGTTATTTCACTGAGATATCGATTTTCTAATCTTCTCTCTGCAAGGAATCAAATAAGCATATTTCCTAAAATGTTGAACTATTCATTAAAGTGTGAAAATTAAGAAATAGGTTAATGTTTTTTTAAACTGAACGACAACAGCCTGCATTAGTGAGGCTGTAGTTAGCTGTAGTTAGTTAGGCTCTAGCTCCAAATGCCACCAATATTTTCCTTTAAATTGAAAGAAACTATTGGAAGGCGACAGACAACAAACTCTAGTTCCTGTGTTATGTTAGTTGCTTAGCCATATTGATGTGACGTAATGAAGTAACAATAAATCAGTCTGCCTTATCCACCTCGAGAAATTTCACTCTAAGATCAATATTTATCCTATCTGTCAAATCTCTCAAAATAGCCTCCACCTGTCGCTGCCTGGGTGCCACTCCTTCATAAATTGTAAACATGTCACCTCAGCCATCACACCCTGTAATTTTACTGAGCGTAAGGAGAGAAAAATGTCAAAAAAGGGATCAGAATGAGTGCTTTTGAGACATAATAAGAGACTCTAACATCAAAATAAAACAACCATTATTTTTTCCATCTGTGCACCAGAATAATTCAGGGTTTTGTGGAGCCATAAAATGGAAAATTAACTTTTACGGCACAAAATACATTTCAACTTAATCTCTACTTCACTGAAAAATACACAGTGTACACAAATTATGTTTTTGTCCTGAATATTTTTTTGTATCCATCTACTTCAAAAGCAAGTGGAAAAATACCAAATTTCCACTGTGACATGAAAGATGATAAGTGCATAATTTCTCAGTATCAAGCTTTCTGTATGATCATATTAGTCTTTTAATTTTGTATTTGAAAAGCAACATTATTATTTATACCTTCTGCTGTGTGCTAACTATAAGAGGTGATGCTAAACAGTTCCTTAGAAAAATGTAATAGGAAGTGTAACACACTATACCTACTGACAAACTGTATTGTTCCCCCTGAGGAACATCCTAGCTTAAAAACAAGGAAATCATTAGGAATTTATATTATGATAAACATTACAAAAACTAATATAAAGCAAATAAAACTTGTCAAATAATGTGAGACTCCGGTAGACAATCTGCTATTTTACGTTTTTTACACTGAGGGACTCCAGCACGTTAGATCTCGTTTGTTTATACTCTGATTTACTCTTCCCCTTCTATTACCAGGAGCTTTTTCTGAGCTGTTGTTGTTGCTGATGTCCTTGTTTACTGTAACTATGCTAAACAGTTCTTGCAGCAGGAAACGTCTGAGCTCATGTGGACCAAATCTCTTCAAGAAAACGAGTTTAGAACTGATCTTCTTCCCTGTAAAAATCTGGCTATTTTTTTATATAGCGATATTACACACATCATTGAATATAATGTCTTACATTTATGTTCACACATCCTCACACCACATTTGTGACACTCAGGGAAACGTATCTTCTCTTATCTCTCTCTAACCTGAGTGTTTGTGTTTGTGTGTGTAGGACGGAGGACATCCCTCTGAAGATCCTCGCCCACAACAGCCTCGTAGGGCGGCTGATTGGGAAGGAGGGTCGAAACCTGAAGAAGATCGAGGAGGACACAGGGACCAAGATAACCATCTCCTCGTAAGCCACCTCTCCTGTTGCACCCGTTCTCCTCTGTCACTGGCACCCACGTCAATCTACCACGTTCAGGAAATCACACACTGGATATTTAACTACTTGTGAGCACTTGGGACTATTATTAATTTAACCAAAACGCAAAACCTGCTGCGATTTTACTTCTTAGACTAGAGCCATACCTTTCTACAACCGTTCCCGTTAGCCGCTCTACATGTGGTTTTACTTATCTGAGTTGTTAGGGAGTTGCTTATAGCTCCTTTGCTCCAGAACATGATATTAAAGGCGGTGATTACCCCCCATTTAGCAGGATATGCTCGCCAACCTTTGATCATTTAGGGCTAATGAATCGCTCTGTCTCTGTGAGCTGTGTGGACGTAATGAGCCTTGAGAAAGAGACGGAGATGAGGAGAGAGATGAAGAGAGAAGAAGAGAGACCTTGTTTAAAAGAGGCAAACAGTACATCTTGTGATAGAATATCTAAATGTCCACGATCGCTTACATGATTCATTCATTAATAGATGCAGTTGTTAGGGCTGAAGAGTTTGAATCCAAAACCTTCTGTGGTTCATTTTAGACAAATTGAGTAATGTTTTGGCTGCAGTGTTTTGACACTATTGCTGCTTGTACAACGTTTTTTTTCCTGCAATAATATTAAGCAAGGACAAACTCGTTTTTAAAATGAACACTGCAGCGATCAGGACGTCATCTGGTTTCTCTCACTTTGGAAAAGAAAATTGCAAGTTTCTGATGTGTAAATTGTGTTCAAATGATTTATTACGACAGGGAAGGTCATATCATTCTAAATGCAATGATGATGGTGATGATGATGATGATGATGATGTGAATTGGCCACATTGAAACCCTTTTGAGTTGCATTATGGGAAGTGCAGGACCCAGTGTTTTCGGAGCATAATCTGGCATCATGCTGTGTCAACGAAAACTTGAAGAAGACGATTGAGAACACAATATCATTAAGATCATTTTTATAAAGGTCTTTATTTTTTATCTTTAAGATTTTATTGTGGATTTTCAAAGACATAAATAACAAGAAAGGCAGCTATACTATACAAAGACAGTGCTCTCACACCTAAAAAAAACACAACAAAACAATAACATAAGGGACAGGGGGGGTTACAATGTCATTTTTATTTTATGCATGCTGCCCATGGTCTAGTACCAGTACATGATTTACTCGGTAACACAAATATACTTTCATTATTACTATTTGTTTTTCTTTTTCCCCCTCTTCTAAATGTTTTCTCTTTATTAGTCTCATTTTTTTTGTTTTATTTGGGGTTTCTTTTTTATAAAGGAGAGCAGCCGAGATGGTTTGGGTCAAGGAATTACCTTATTGTTACCCAAAACCTGTTATTTATTCTACCCTATCAAAATATAAAAGGAGGCAGCTTCTTCCAGACTTAAACGGTTAAGAAAGTCCTCCAGCCATTGAGTTATGACATTTTGAAATGTTATAAACTAATGGACTCAAGTGTGAAGATCATTTTGTCATAGACTTGAATACAAACTTATTTTGGCAACCTGTGGATAACCCCTGATAAAATGCTAGTTAGTTTGTATTTCTTTGGGTGTTTACCGGTAGTTCAAATATTACTCCTACTACTACTTTAACTCAGTCATATCCACTTTCTGATAAAAAAAATAGTGAGCAGAGTGTGAGTGTTTCTGTGAGCTGTATTTGCATATACTAATTTATGTGTGTGTGATCTCCCCTGCAGGTTACACGACTTAACCATTCACAACCTAGAGAGGATCGTCACGGTGAAGGGCACCTTGGATGATTGTTGTAAAGCCCAGGTGGAGATCCTGAAGAAACTGATAGAAGCCTCCGAGAACGACATTGCTGCTATGAACGTAAGCCGAGCCTTAAGGTTACCATCTGCAGACCTCTTCTACGATCAGGGTGCGTGCGTGTGTGTGTGGTTATGATCTCAGGTTGACTCACACAGACTGACAGGTGAACAGTGAAGAGGGAGTGATGATATACTGTAGGATGATATCGCTTTCCATTCAGTGCATGTTACCACCAGCATTAGTAATACCCTTTGTTGTGTGCTTGGTAGTTAGATAACAGTAAACAGTTGCTGAATAGCTCATCAGTGAGTGTTTGAGCACAGCATGTTAACAAACATGTGTGTGTGTATGTGTGTGTGTGTGTGTGTGTGCCTGTTCCACAGAGCCTCTGACTCACGCTCACTTCCCCGCTGTGTGTGTCTGTGTTCCCGCTGTAACACACTGCGTTTCCCAGCATCCATCTGATATCTGTAGGCCGCTCTCTCACCCAGCTCCTCTTTCACACTGCCTGGATGATATCAACGGGGCAGAGCCAGCGAGAGAGGTCGACCTCAGAGGAAGAGAGATAGTGAAGATGATATCACAGGCTGCACACTCCCTACAATACAGAGATGATTAATGATAAAGTGTGTGATGATGCTCTCTATTATGAGCAGCAGTTACTCCAAATTACTATGCCAGTATCTTAGCTGCTTTCACATGAGCTGCCCATGTTGTGAATTTTTATCACCTAAATATTGGGGAAGAAATAATCATCAAGAAGTACCTCATCGCATGCGATTAAATAGTACAGGCTGGTGAGAGCAGTGCTGGCAGCTGAGTGCCGACTCTACAGTTAGCGGTGAGGGCCATCTAGCGTGACACTGTGGATATTACATGAAGCTTTCTGGGAAAAAGGAAGTGAAAGAAGGCCGTGTGTCTCTGCACGGACATGAAACCCTGAGGGCTGCATTTTTCGTCGTGCCATCAAAACAGCAAATATCCCCGTTTATCGCCTTCCTGTTGGTCTCTAAATTGTTTATTCAGCTTGAGAAGTAGGAACATTTTCTCCATCCATAAATGTATTCTTAAAATGATGCATATAGTTTACTGTAAGTACAACACATTTATTTGCTCAAAGCTGATACAATTGTAAAAATATGCCTGTACTGTTTAGAAGCGCACACGTTGACTGTTTCAGAGGGCTTGTTTTTTTCAACCAACAATTCAAATATATTAAACTAGTATCAGAGTCAACAATCAAAAATAACCAACATACTTATATTTGAGTTTAAAGATTGCTGGATTATTGCTAATTGTTATGGATATATAACACATCCTAAACAACAGTCAGGTTCATTCCTGTGTCTGATTACCCTTTTGGTAATCAAAAAACATTTGGGAAATTATTGATGTTTATTTATCAATTAAACTTACTTTTGACTTATTTTAAAGAAATAATTGGCATTCATCTTCCTTTTTCTCTTTATTTCATTTTTATTTGTTCCGTTCATGGTATGCACAACTTAATGTATAACAATTATTATGCAAAACATGTCTCATGTTTATCACTTATTAGAGGTAGTTTTCTTTTTAAGGTTGTCTTACTGGAGACGGATCTTCTTGATTTACTGTAAAATGTATCAGTATGACTCTTGTTGCAGCAAGGAACATAACCCTACAGCCTGGAGACATACAAGTCCAAGTTAAAACCTGTTTAATCTGATTTGCTCCTTTAAAGAAAAATGTTTTAAACACATCAGTGAAAATTGGTTTAAAAATAAAACCCAAGATGAAATGATGAGACCCATTTAAAGCCTAATGTATATATTTTTTGTAGTTTTTTTCTTTAAGCTAAAATCTTCCTTTCTTGTTCTGCCCAGCAACAGGCCAACCTGATCCCAGGCTTGAACCTGAATGCTCTGGGCATCTTCTCCTCCGGCCTGCCGATGCTGACCCCTGCTGCCGGACCCCGCGGTGCAGGGCCCCACATGGCTCCAGCAGGATACAACCCATTCTTAGTGAGTATGCTCTTATTTCACAAAACCATAAAAGACAGTGAAAAAAGAATCTAAAATTATTGTTTTGTAATGACTTTTCTGCTGTTGTTTTACCCGCCCAGTGAAGCAATGCTCAGCTCATGCAGGGATTTGTTTTGATTTGATAAAGCAATTTTTTTCCAACACGTGGTTAACCAGTTTTCCCCTGAAGTGCTTTTTAAGAAAACAAAACAGTGTTGACTCAGGTATTCTTGCAATATATTGTATACAGTCTGAAACAACCAGAATTCCCCCATCTTCCGCACAAATGAGTCAGGATGTCTGTAAAACAAAGTTTCCACTCATTGGCTGACGAGGACGAGCCACAGTAGTGTGAGACATTGTGCGAGAATGTATTTGCGTGCTTCATAGTCCAGAGAGTGAGTGATTCACTGGCAGTTTATGCCCCTGAAATTCCCCCTAATAGAAGCTTGAGTTGAGTGTGTGCATGTGTCTGTGAATTTGTGTTTTTTTGCCATCTGATTGGTCTGCTTGTCTCTTTCAGAGTCACTCTTCACATCTCAGTGGCCTGTACGGGGGTCCTCCAGCAAGTGCCATCACCCACCAGCACTCAGTATGTTCTCTTATATTTTTTCACTTTAGTCAATTATGCCCTGTGGATCTGAGACCTAAGAACTAATTTCTTATTATTTTATGATGCTAAAACAATATTTATAAGATTTGAGAGCAAGTTGAGAGCACAATAAATCTTTGAAAAGCCTCAGGAAGTTACTTATGGTATACATGCTGCCACAGTATAAAGAAAAAGAAGCAACACCAAATGGACGGAAAGACTTAAATAAGAAACCATGGCAACCTCTCGGTCAACGTCTATGATGAACAGACAGTCTGGCCTTTTTGCGTACCATCTCCCAGCCACCAGGGGTGGGACGTTGCGCGGCTCGCTGCACCGAGGAGCGGACAGTGTGAGCTGGGATCATTTCCTGCTTGCTGCGTGAGGTCTGCGAGACATCGCGAATGGACGCGGGAAGGGGGACCCCCATCTGTGAGGCTCCACTAGCACCCGCACCTACAGTGTAAGCGTACCACAGTTTCGCCGCTGCGAGGCTCCACTAGCACCCCCCCAGTGCGTCACAGTTTCCTCACCGAGAGAGTGTGTGTGGGAGGAGCTCCACGGATTGGACCATTTGGAAAAATCTCCAACGAGGCGTTCTGGGGCAGCATAGACAGGTCTTTTCTGTGTTAGTTTTATTCGCTACAGGGTGTACTTTGAGGGTTTGTGACTCTGCAGACCGTTTAAATGCATAAAAACCTTCATAACACACAAGGGGACGGGTAATAACCGGAAAAGCATGACATGGGACCTTTAAGAAAACAAAAACAAAGAGCACCCATCGGCCCTAATAGGAAATATTCCTTTCAGACCAAACTAGGGTGGGATGTTTACCCAATGAGAAAAGACTTGAAGAGAGCTCAATTTACCTTTACTTGCATGAGGTGTCTTCTTTTTTAGGCATCTCTTCGAGTATCTGACAAGTTAATTTAACGGGTTTGACTGTTTGGTAGCTTTTAAATGTCTCTCCCATTCAGCAGTAAAGTTGAGTAATAGTGGAGTGAAATATATCTTTATTTGTGACTTATTTTTCCCCACAGACTCCAGAACAGGAGGTTGTCTACCTCTTTATTCCAACTCAGGCAGTCGGGGCCTTGATCGGCAAGAAGGGCCAGCACATCAAACAACTCGCCCACTTCGCTGGAGCTTCTATCAAGGTGGGTTTTTCAGCCTCAATAGAGCGCTGACTTCAATTTGAAGGGTGGTAAAATAGGTTGTCTAACCACCTCTGATCAGCGTGCATCGCATTGTTTGAATGCTCACATCGGGCAGTAAGGTAAAGTTAACAATTTGCTTGTCCGCACTGGCAGGTTGTTAGTTATTAATGGTCAAAAAAGGAGTTACGCTTTTAAAAAATCCTCTCCGAGCCGCCCAAAGAAGTGGAACAGATGCTCAATGAATTCTAATACCATAGTCTCATTTATTTATTGGAATACGCAGACTTCTTGAATGATGATTCAGTGGTTACATGCACTGAATAAACACCTTTTCTATTTCTATCCATAACCTGTGTGTGTGTGTTGTGTGTTCCAGATTGCTCCAGCTGAGAATCCAGATAGTAGGATGGATGGTGAGAGGATGGTTACTATTACTGGAAATGCAGAGGCTCAGTTTAAGGTAACCACACAATGAAATGCTGTATGTGTATGCAAAATTGCTACTTGATATGCTTGATTCATTTTGTTGTGTATTACAGTAAACAGCAGTGGATCACTGTGTGTCCCCATTTCCCAGTCTCTCCTTGTCTCATTCCCTCCTCTGTATTCCAGGCCCAAGGTCGGATATTTGGGAAGCTGAAAGAGGAGAACTTCTTCTCAGCGAAGGAGGAGGTCAAACTGGAGACACACATCAAGGTTCCCTCAACCGCAGCTGGCAGGGTCATCGGTAAAGGTGGAAAGACGGTGAGTTGTTGCTTGAAGTGATCTGAATTATAGACAAGGATGGAGAAAAAACAATTGCATTAACTTCAGCTACATTAGCCATAAATAGCACCTGGTTTGCTTGGTTTAACCAAACAGTATTTTTCAGTTTACTGAGTAAGTCAGTGAGGCTTTAAGTGAGAATTAAAGCAATATACTAAATCTCTTTTTTTTTCAGGTAAATGAGCTGCAGAACCTTACAAGTGCTGAGGTCATCGTACCGCGGGACCAAACCCCAGACGAGAATGATGAAGTCTTTGTGAAAATCAGCGGTCATTTCTTTGCCAGCCAGGTACGCATAACAAAGTTTAAGATCCTGTAAATGAACACAGATATGTTTGTTATTTGGGTTGATTAGAGATCTGATGTCAAATATGGTGGCTTAACTTGGTACATCAGTTTTTTTGTATTAACTGTTCAGAAATTTTTATGCAATAATGCAGATTATCTTCTTTAACATGTGCTCTGAACATTGGTTAAAACCAGAAATACAATCATTACTTTTTCACATTTTAGAGTCAGTGGTTATTGCATGTTTTAACAGAAGAAAAGTTGGATATCTCTTTTTTTCACATTATAATTCAGAAAATACTCAGTCTCAACAGCATTACAAAGTTATTAAATGAATATAATGTTGGGTTGGGATCAGGGTAGGATTTTCACGACGGCCATGGCTTTAAAAAGCGACAGAACAGTGTTTTCTGAACTGCATTATGCTGCGTTCACAACGGACGTGATGCGAATATTCTCATCGCTCTAACCGCTGGAGTTTCACCGCGGCTGTCAGCTGTGGTTACTCCTGTCATTCAAACAGGACGCGCTGGAGAGGGGGCGGGGCTTATTTCCATGTAAATACTGTGGTGGAAACCAACTACGACAAAATTAACCTATTTTACAGTGATTTAATTGTAATACACGTTCCAAATGATGCCAAAGTAACTACATACTGATACCGGTTAGTAAAAAACATGAATTAATGCTTTGACAAGTCTGCAGACAAGACGGCAAGCGAAAAACCTTTTAAAATGCGTGTTTTCTGAATGGATCGATCAGGCTAAACTAACCTGTAGCTGCTCCGTCCACACTCACAACAACGTCCTAAAGACAGAATTAAAGCAGCGATTGTATTCGCCATGACAGTCTGGTGTGTACATGTTTCACTTTTTTCCAGTTTCTGACCAGAGCTGTGAGGAGTTGATTAAAGAGACTCTCGTACACACGCACGCACACACACACACACACACTTCACTGTGTGCACTACTGAATGATGTATGTGCAGAGTTTGACCCTTGAAGGCTGTTTCTTCTGCTCTGAAATGGAATATATTTGTTAAATATTAATAGAATTTTAGAATTTTAGATTTGATTTTGGATTTGTGAATGGGAGAAGTAGTAGATGGAAAACATACCAAACACTAGTTATTCAAAGTAGAGTATTTTATTTTATATACAGGCCTATATTATGATATCATGTTTGACATTATTACATAATATTACAGAATCGTAGTAAATGGATGAGGATTCAAATTCAGCTAGAAGTCATTTTCTTTGCTACTTTAGTTTATTAGTTCTTATTATCTTTAAACTATTTAAGCATATATTAATACAATTTACATACTGATAACTGCAGGAAAAAACAAACCTACACAGTCAACCTACCCCCAATGATGCTGAGCAGTTCATAGGAACATGACAGTTATCTGTTCATCAAAAGCCTATCTCCAAGGTCAGTCTGGTACGTGTTGTTACATATCAGTTAACACCCCGTCCTGTATGTGATGTCTCTCCGCACAGACTGCACAGAGGAAGATCCGGGAGATCATTCAGCAGGTCAAACAGCAGGAACAGAAGCACCAGCAGGGCACCGCCGTGTCACCGCACCACGCCAAGTGACCAGCGGGGCGGCTCCGGCGGGTGCCAGCCAATGAATGTAGCCCTCCCAAACGGACAGAGACCTACCCAGACAAAGGCCACGGCCAAGGGGGACATGCAGGGCAGACCAGCAGCACCAGGATCAAAACCAAAGAACTTCACTAGGGGGGAAAACAAGTAAGAGCCAAAGGCTGAGGGCATTGTGTGCACTGCCAGCCCCGTGAGAGCAGATAGAGTGGGAAAAAACCGTACTGATATAATATAACAAAAAAAAAGACCAAAAAAATCTATAAGGAACGTGGACATGGCAGAGAATTTTGGAACTGTTGTCGTCACAGTTCCAAACAGGAAATAGTATGTCGCCCTGAATAACGTTATCTCTTTAGTTGGACTAACATAGGCCTAACAAACTGATAAAGCAAATGTATTAACACAAGCGTATACGAGGCATTGTGATAAATATTTTAGGTTAGAACGAGCGCGAGGGACAATGGACTCTCACATGAATTAGAGATATTCAGATTGAAAGATGAAATATCCTTAGCAGTATTAACACAGAGTAGAAAAGTATATTGATACACACTGAGAGTACGCACTGTTATTTTACTATCAAAATGACAGAACAACTTGGTTTAGTTTCTAATATTTGTGCTTGTTCCAGAGATTGATTGTGCTCTGACAGCCTCATAAGGCAATTCCCCTTGTGTGTTCACAGTATAGGCCACTGAAATCAAAAGAAAAACACTTGTAAGAAAATATGGTGAATGGGTCTTTTTAACAAGCCTGTGTGTGTGCCAACGCAAAAGATAACGTCCCTTTTAAGTGTCTCTCACCAATCATATCTGATGCTTCTACTCTTTTTTTCTTTTTTTTCTTTATTTTCTGCTTATTTCTGCTTTAATTTCTCATCACTCTCTCTCATCTGGCGTGTTTTTTTAATAGGTTAAAAACATATTTGTTGTCAAGGAACAGTTTCTTCCCCCATAGCCCTCATTGAACTGCCACTTTCACTCAACAGAGGTTAAACGCATCAGAGGAATTTTTAAACTGATATAATTCTTCCATGCTGTAACAGTAACTATAACAGCATTCATGCTTGTTGTCCTGATATTTAAAAAAGAAATCTAAACATTGTCTAATAAAGGACGATCAGAGCAAATCTTAAAAAAACTATTTGGTCAAACTTAATTTGCTTACAGGTGACCAGTCGTTTTGAGCCACACGCTCGGCCTTATTTGGGACGTCATGAGGTCCGACACAAACATAAGAAATTAGACGTTGTTTTGAGGGAGGGTGCTCACTTTTGGTGTGTGAAGTGGCAGTGAGGAAAAAGTTTTGGGTTAGAGGGTGGTTTGGGAGGCACTGTATGACCTGTGGTACACACACAACCGCAAACGTGACCACAGCCGTGTTTGGCTTTAACCCTCTCTTGTCAGGGAGCTTTCTAAAACGGCATGACAGCTGTGAATGTACGATATGCAGCCTTTTAGAAGAATCACCCCTGCCGTGTCCAGCAGGCGGGGCCACAAGCACACAGATTGTCATTCTCACCCTCGCTCTTTCTTTTAACTTTTTCTTTTTTGTTTTGTTTTATTTTGGCGAGCCAGCCGACCGCTCTGCGAGTGCGCTGGACACGCAGGTCCTCCTGGTGTCCCTTTACTGTGGAGACCATGGAATCTTGTTGCCTTATTTTGTCAACTTTTAGACACCACCCATCAGCTTCATCTTCCAGACGCAAGGTTATTGCCAATACGCACAGCTTCCTCCGTGTGTGTGCGTTTGTGTGCGAGTGCGCATGTGTGTGTATATATATATAAAAAGAGAGAGTAATATTTATGAATCTATTTTTTTCCTATTTTGTGATGAGAGCTATTGATAAGAAACAAAAAGAAAAACAAAGTCCTTTTCTTTTCTTCCTCAGTGGGACACTGCCATATTATTTTGAAGGGAAGTGTTTATTTTCTTGAAAACTAGACTATGAATAATAATATAAACAAAAAACCTGAAAAATAGGAGAACAGTTAAGTGAACCATCGATAACTTTGGTCAGGATGTGAACAGTGCGCATGTCAGTATTGTGATCTACCTCAGGCTTCAGGGTACCTCAGTCCAATCTTTCATTTCCCCTTTTTCCACATTTTGTATGCCTTGTTAACTGATCATTTTGAGCGTTTTTAATTTTCTTTTTTAATGAAAAAAAGACAAAAGATCTACAGTAATCTCTAAACTCTTCAGGTCCAGTCAACTAGTGAAACTTTGTCAACCCTGTTGGACTGTCTTTACCTGGACGCCATACAACCTCTTAATGATACACGTCAAAAGGATTTCAAAGTACATTTTCTGTAGAAAGGAATGAAGAGCAGGATCTAAGGGGTACATACCTGCCCGAAGTGGTTCTGAATGTGGATGTTGTGTACTGATTTCACAGAAATCAGAGAAAGGAAAGAAAAGTCAGTTGAAAACAAAACAGAAACCAACCATCTGTACCTCCTGCTTTTCCCAACTGTACCTCCAGGTTTTTTTTAGACTTTAAAAAAAACAACAATGAAGTTTATTCACTTGTGGAAAAAAAAAAAAGATTTTTTTTAAACAACCCAATTCAATCGTACCAGCTCTATTTGATAAAAACATACTCTGGGGTTGATTTGAAGAAAACACAAAGCTGCAAAAATAGACTGACGGGACTCTTTGAACTTGGTGTAAAAACCCTAGTCTTCTGTGTAGAATGTAGAACAACTCTAGTCGTTGAAATGTCACTGTGTACGACAAGATACCTGTATATCTGTAAACATGTACAATAGAGTCACACATTAATGCATCGTTTTCTGTTTCTATAACACTCATCAGTCTACACCTGCGATGTGAGAGATGGTGGGAGAAGTTTTAGAGCGTCACAGCTTGCCTCAAAACTGACCTTTAAACGGTTTTCTCATCAATCTATAGATGATTTTTTTTTTTTTGATGTGCTGTACATTTCAGAATTACCTCTCAGAATCCAAGGCTGACTTTAGTTACTAAAACCGATTTAGGGCGAAAAATAATTAAATAAAGAAATTATATAGTGAAAGTTAGTGTTTGTCTTTGGAGTTCTTTTAACTGTTTGAGAGCTGATTTTTTTTTTTTTTTTTTCGAGGGCAGGCTTTTGTCATCAGATGAGCTGGATCATTGTCCCAGTGAACACAGATTAGCAGTGCTGAAATAAAACATAAAAGGTCTATCGAACTCACACAATGCCTGAGGCTTGCTGTAACAACAGCAAGCCTCCCCACAGCCGGTACAGTACCTCATACTGATGATGATCGCTCACCAGACCTGATTCAAATGACCCCCTGACCTTAGCCACACCAATGCAGTACGGTGCTTTAACTCGAAACACGTGACTCCTGTGGTGGTCTGCTTCACTGTAGTAGGGCATGTCATGGAGAGAACGGCTCTTCGCTGTAGCACTGGAAATTGCAGTTTGTCACTCATGGTTTAACTTGGCAGGACTAGCTTTTTAAGAGCAGTATTGAAGGCTCGTCTCTTGTGTTGCAGAGGACTCTTCAGATCTCTGTCTCGCTTGTGTTTTTGGCTCTTGACACAGTTAGTGCAGGTTTCCCTCCAGCTGGTTCGGTTTCACTGTGTGAAGAGCACAGCGTCTTGTTTGTTGTAAGTCGGCCGCTGTCTGAGGAGGAATCTTGTCAAAACTTAATAGTTTCCTTTTAATTTTAATTTGTACTTCCAAGGATTGGTGTTTCTAGGTTTTTTGGTTTGTTGCTAGACATCAATATTCAGTACCAGAAAACCACAATTACACACATCACTGAGGGTGTACTGTGTTGTTAGTCATATCACATGGTGGTTGGATAGTTTAGGCTTTTATTTTTCCTGTTGATCTGGTTTTTTCTCGTCATTTACACTGATTTAATGATGTAGTCCGGAGCAGTAGCTGGGATTCTTTGCTTTAATATTCATTCCTGTTAGATCACTACCAATTATACTAGTTGTTAAATTGTGGTTGAAATATCCTAACTAGAATGTTTAACAGGTTTTGGAATCACGATGGAAAAATAAATGAATCTGTGACATGCATAAAAAGAGGGTTGACAGAGTAACCAGGTCTGATCAAAAAGAAAAAGCTAATCAAATCTTGTTCTGTGACTGAACAAAAAATAGGGCATTCAACAACCATCCAAAAAAAGATAGTTAGCTGAGGAAGAATTTAGTAAAGTCTGGTTTGATGTATGCAGAACCACAGCAGTGTTTTTGTCTTGTCTTGTTGTTAAATGGGAGAACACAAAGCATTGCATGAGACTGTTGTAGGCGATCCAGTAGGTACACTTTATATAGCACTAGACTTTCAGTAGTGGTTTTCCATGGATCCATTTCTTAACTGCTTTTCACCATTTGGGAGATTCCTTTTGTCCCCTCAGTAGGTCTCAACCCTCAAGTCCTACATTTCCCACGGGCCAAAAGGTCCCAGACACCTCAAGGTAATCGGTGACTGTGCGCTAGAGAGACATATATGATCCATTTTTAATCCATCCCGTGGATTCATGCCTTTCTGGTAACAGCCAAGCTGTTGTTTTGAGTTGTGAGTGAACTGTATTGCTGAGCAACCTGGATCTGAGCAATAAATAATATTTGAAAAAAGAAAATGCTGTTTTTCACATTTACTGTTTTATTATTCCAAAGTGTTTTTACCTCTGAAATATTAGGTGTCATGTCATTTGGGATCTAGCACACCATAACTGTACATTCAATTTAAAAATAATTAACATATTTTTAGAGACAGAAAGCTGACATTACATTTTAAATCTTAACCCACACAAAGAAAGAGTTTTAAGATAACACTGTGCAGTGTGAATAGCCCTGTACAAAAGACATACGGACAGCCAGAGACGCAATATAAACGATCGATTGAACACATCCTGGATTAACTGCACCTTTACTAAAGTTTCAGGTAATGATTAGGTATCATGACATTTACTCAGTCATGTCATTTAATTTTTTTGTTTTTTGTTACCCCAAAGACTGAGGCCAAATTACACAATTTGAAAAACTTTGAGTTCCAACAAAGTTCAAAAATATAAAAAATTGCAGAACACCCTGCATTACAATTTATACTTAAAATGTGATTGTCAAAAAAGAAAAATACAATTTTCAAGTATATGCTGCAAACATATTTCAGTTACAAATATAGGTATTCACACAAACATCATCTGAGCCATTAAGCTACAACCAACATGAGCAGGCTGTTACATTAGTTTTCCCAAACTGGTGGAGGTAGAAGTCAGAACCAGAGTCCAGCACTGCACGACAGGCACTTGAAACACTGGCTGTTTACATTGAAGCCAAGTCCCCTTTAAACCCTTCCCTTTATCCTTATGATTACTGTACATTAATATATCCTTATAAATGTACTGTGCTCAATGGTGTTGTGGCATACTGTAGAATAACAAACATTTGGTTAAACAAAAATACCTGGCTACAAATTCCAATGTGCCAGTCTTATTTTTTACAGCTCTGCATCTCTAGGTGGCTCCAGATAAGATAAAAGAAACCTTTACACTTGAGTCAGCAGGTTGTTTCTGAAGAGTCATCGCTTTAAATACATGTAATCTTCGAGGCAGAGAGCCAGGGAAAACAACTCCCAGAAAAATCACTGGACCTTCTTCTCCGTGTTGAGCCCGTTCTGTGATGGGACGTCCAGTTTGAGGCGGTTCTGACTGAAGCGGCGGATGAGGGCGCCGGGCAGCAGCGCCATGCAGGCGATGGCCAGCAGCTGCAGCAGCCTCCCCCATGAGAACAAGTCGTCCAGAGACGCCACCTCAGACAGCATGACGCCCGTCTGCACACAGATGAAGTTGTACGGTAGGAGGCCTGCAGACACAGATGGCAGGTTAAAAACAAAACTTTAGTTAGACATCAAATGAATGTGGAGGGTTGGGAGAAATGTTCAATACTTAAAATTTGAAGGCAAATAATAATGTGATGTAAATCGAGTCAAGACTTTGTTGTGAGCAGTTTTATGTAGGAACTATATTCCTTCTTTCAAACTACACCCACCGACCATATCACTCTGCAGAAGGAAGATTGTATCTACTCGTGGACAAAAAGCATGCAGTTCTTTAAAAATGAAGTACTTTCTGTATGAAACTGTTCACAACAAGAACTGTGAATTATCTTGAGTGACTGGGTCATGATTTCCGGGAAGAGACGTTGCTGGGAGTTCTTTAGGTCTTTTGTTTTTTGGGCTTTGAGCACCACAAGCCGTGTATTCGAGAGAAAGAGGACATTTTTACAGCCAATAACTCACACACAAACAATCTGGATTAATAAATGGCACTGCAGGTATGAGGACAAATATTTGTTTTTGTTTGGGTGTAAACTTTCCCTTTAGCAAATGTCACAATCACATGTTGAAACTGATGATTTCACAGAGGGACGATTAGCCGTATTAATTAGCACGCACCTAATACAAACAATAATTAAAGTAGCCAAAGTGTGAGTTTAGGTGAATGTGAAGTCCTTTTCTTTTCATGTAAGGAGATGCTTGTGCTCTTACCAATGAAGACTGAGCAGATAAAGTAGGTGATGGGGATGTTGGCAATAGGGGCCGACATGTTCAGAAACCAGTTTGGAGTCATTGGAAAGAATCTCAGGAAGAGTAGAAAGAATAACAAACTGTCCTTGTTCTCCTCAACCTGGTAGAAAAGATAAGATTTTAAAAGAGATGTTAGGATATATAGGGAGAGTAGTAGTGTGTTTGTTGCTTTTTGAGATATTTTCAGTGTCAATTTCATATCTTCTCGTCACATTTTGGGGAATAAAAATACAAAACAAAACCTGTAATCACCCCCTGTATAACTTTGCACATGTATATACATGTAATGATAATATGTGTGAGCAGAGCATTCGGGGCAGGAATATATAACTTCATATTCTCAATGAAAGCCTACCATAAAAACTCATTTATTATCAGAATATACAGTAGAATTGAATCAATTTGTTGCCTTGAATAAGTTGTTTACATGGTGTCACAGATGTACCTTCCTCTGTAGCATGGAGACCTTATCAGGGAAAAGGTTAGCGATGTAGCGCTTTCCAAAGGTCTGGGACAGGAGGTAGCACATGGTGGAGCCCACAGTGGTGAGCACACAGGCAAGCAGCAGTCCTTGATAGGGTCCAAATATAGCTCCTGCTAAAATATTCTGCATAATGACAAGTGGAGAGGGCCAGAGTGATTACACATAAAAGTGTTTAATGATCGTCACAGACATGCACATCAAGACAATCTACTGCGTATCTCTTCCTGCCAAAGGAGAGAAGTACTCTTTAATCTAACAGTGGTTCTGTGCTGCAAGCTCCGTTTGGGGAATTAAATCAATGATACTGGGGAAGAGAAACTGCCACAAAAGTCTTATAATGTCTACACATAACGAGAGTCTGACATCCTTTTATTGTTTGAGCTTGCTGGATATTGTTATCCTCTGCAGTGTGAGTTTGGAGAAGAGACTTTTTCATTTTTCCTTATAGCATACTTAATTTGTGTCACACCTGCCATACGTGTTAATTTCTAATTGGCCTTCAAATCAATAATTGTTTTTGTAAAACATGTCAACAAATACCGTGACTACCTCACACCCACAAAGATCAATGACTTGCTTAATTGTTGTAAACATTTTTAAAGACATCCGACACGTAAAATATCAACATCCATGGTTTGCCTTGTTATCCAGCGTCAGTACAGAAAACACCTGAGCTTGAACACCTGCATTTTACCCTACCAGAAATGAAGATCCAGGAATGGCAAAGGACTGCTTGTAAAGATATGCACTACAGAAGAGCAGCAGGACATATCCAGTGTGCTCCGTCTTGTAAAACTGCAGGAGCTCAGACAGTTCCCTTAGCTCCTCCAAGTCTGAGGGGAACTTCAACCTGCATGACATCCATACTCAAGTTAGTCCCATCATGCACTTCTTCCAGGAACAGACAGTGTTCAGAATCATGGACAGATAATAGGATATTATGGTAATCAACAACATTTCAATATTGACATATACCTGATGGTGACAAGTTTATAAATGCTGATATGTGCTTGTTTGATCAATTTCAACCTGAATTACTGGTAACACTGTATTGGTTTTGGCTACTAAGTCAGAGGACTGAAGTTAACACATTGACCTAAAGTTAGGTTTACAGCCATTAGCAGTTGTATTGGGTATATAAGTGGTTATAAAGTGTTTTACAACTGTGTAATGACGC